TCACTTCAAAAGGCCAGGCCTGGACAAAGAATCACTGAGGCCACCCATGGATATCATGGAAGAAAATATTTGCAACAAATGTTATATTCACCCACAGATGCAGGGCTGTAAATCTTTTTATTATGGGGAGTTCAGCTCGCAGCTGAGCTACATTTTTACCCCTCCCCCCCCCCCCCCACCAACTTCTCCCCCTTGAAGAAAGGAAGGAAAGGAGTGGTGTAAAGAAGGAAGGGGTGGGTGGAAGGAAGGGGTGGGTGAAAGGTAGGGGTGGATGGAAAAAAGAAAGAGAAAGAAAGAAAAAAAAAAAGAGGGTGGATGGAAGGAAGGAAGAAAGAGAAGGGTGGGTGGAAGGAAGGGAGAGGTGGGTGGAAGGAAGGAAGGGGTGGATGGAAGGAAGAAAGGGGGGTGGTGGGTGCCGTGGAAGGAAGGGTGGGAGGAAGAAGGGGGGAGGGGTGGGTGGAAGGAAGGAAGGAATGGGTGGAAGGGGAGGAAGGAAAGATGGAGGGAAGGAGTGGGTGGGTGGAAGGAAGGGGTGGATGGAAGGAAGGGAGGGGTGGGTGGGTGGAAGGAAGGGGTGGATGGAAAGAAAGAAGGGAGGGGTGGAAGGAAGGAAGGAAGGGTGGGATGAAGGAAGGGAGGGGTGAGTGGAAGGAAGGAGGGATTGGTGGAGAAGCAAGGAAGGGACGAAGGGGTGGTTAGAAGGAAGGGGGGAGGGGGGGGTGGAAGGAAGCAAGGGAGGGGGGGGGGGGGGAGGGGGGTGAGTGGAAGGGGGGGGGGGGGAGGAAGGGACAGCGCCTCCAGGTGCTTTATTGAAAGTCATACAGGAGATCACCCTTGTCACCGCCAGCCCTCCCACACACTCCTAGTTCTGGCACTGCTCGCCCACCCCCACCTTATTTCCACTCGCGGGGCAAGTGGAAAATTTCAAGGTCTGCAGGGATGGTTGGCAACTCTCCTCTGGGGGGGGGGGGGTCAGAACCCCCTGACTCCCTCTTATCTACGTCAGTGCACAGATGTCACAAAAATGTGTATACAGTATATGGCAGGTGGTATAAGAATTTGGACTATATATTTTTATAAGTACAAGGAAAAAAAGTGAATAAATGCCCAACAATGAATTACAGGGAATAAAAAACAATGATTTCTATCAGCAGTGCAATTGTGTCTCACAGTTGTAGGGACAGGCTGTTTTGTGTGCCAGTGATCTTCTGGCGTGTGACGTCGTCCCACCGGAAGTGGGACTGAGATTGAGCTCTGCGGTCACTTTTGCAGCAGTTGTTTTCTTATTCCGGGTCACATTCCTGCGCAATGTCCTTTTGTCTCTTATGCTTATCAGATGACGTCTTCCAGGAACTGTATATGCCGTCATAACCTGTGATGATGTACCTCACAACACCACAAGTAAATTGGTAACTTCAGTCACAGAGGCACCAGCTACTGTAAGTGGTTACCAACAATTTTCCCTCTTTGAAGCTCAGTAAGCTCTGACATAACTCCACATCACTAGCAGTGCATGCCGTGAATGATGAAAGTGAGGCTTCCCACCTGTTAGCTAGGTGTCTCATCACACAGCGGAAGCAAAAGAATATTACATTACTTCCACTTTCAACATGAAACATGTCATCACTTTCACACCTGAAAATCTTGCAGTGTTACCATTTTTTTGTCTAATCCCTGTAGATGCACTCATATTTGTTGATGCCCTGCTTATAGTGGCACTGATAAACCACATCTGTGTATAATGGAAAATGCAGTCAATCCACTCAGCTGTCCCAGGATCCGGCATGTATTCCACACTAGTTAAACTAGAGGTTTGAGAAACCTGATGTGAGCTACAGACAAGACACACCCCAACACATTTTGCCAATGGGCATCCTCAACAGGTGGAACCAGGCGGCAGTATCACATTTAATTTATGCACTGAGTATTAAAGTGTTACTAAACCCAGGACTCTGCATTCACTATATCTGGTCTCCCACAGTAAACAGATCATGGAAATGCAATTATTTTAGTAAATATAAACTGATAAATACTTTTTCTCATCAGCAGTATATAGCAGTCTTGTAACTTCTATCAGTGTCCAGCTGAGCACTGGTTAATCTTGTAGGAGGAGTTTTCATTCTGCTGACTGTCCTATTGTCAGGGCAGGAGCCGAGGAACGGACTGGCAGGCCTAACAATGTAACGCACTGGCTGACGACAACCACCACCCACAGACCGAAGTCCCTCAGGGCGCGGAGTCTAAGTCCCAGGCTGCCCTTCACCAGGGCCCCTGATGATGGGGATGGACTTGACGCAGCCAGGAACCAGGTCGCGGCCCCCGAGACACCTCAGATGCGGTAATGGCCGCCGCCAATGGCGTGTAGCTGGTGGGAGAAACAAAAGAGTAGTCAGACAAGCCGGGGTCAACAACAACAGGACAAAACAGTACAGGACAGCAGACAAGAATCACAGGTTACAAGCCGGGTTCAGCAACAGAGGGTCAGATCAAAGGAGAATACAAAGAATAGTCAAGTCACAAGCCGAATCAGAATACCAGGAGAGTCACGAGAGTCAGAACAGAGTAATAGTAACACAAAGACACAAGACACAAGTGCAAAGAGCATGTGCGGGCCACAGGCTTATATGTCATCAGCCACGCCCCTCTGGGGGGTGGACCTCAGAGACCTGAAGGCATAAAAAGGATTCCCATCATGCACAGCAGAATCCAAGATGGACGCCAGCACATGGAGTAACATAACCTCAGGGAAAAGGTAGGACCTTGACACCTATGAGGCTGCATAACTCTCTGTCTGGACAGTGCTGATTGGCCTTGCACTCTCCCAAAGAAAAAAAAAACCTCTAGCAATACACACTAAACTGAGCATGTTGTGAGTGACTCCTAGAGCTCTGTACGATCAGCAGAGGGATTGGGGGGAGTAGAAGAAGGGGAGGATCAGAGAATACAGGATCAAACAGCCTTTTTACACAATGCAGAGGATTAACCCCTTAGGTTCCACAGTGAGTATAACAAGCATGCTTTACTGCATATACAGACTGATTTTACTGTTGTGGGTTTAGTAACACAAAAACTTTATCATTGGCACTGACAGTGGAGAATGCAAAGCACATGATGGCAACTCTGATAGCCTCAGATGGGGACAAACCACATAAGAGACCTATTAACAAAAAGAAAATGGTCTCCATATACAAAAAATTTCAAATCACCCCAAGCAGAGAATCCCATATTAAATAAAATAATTCAAAACCAATAAAAAGGTTGGTAGGTATTTACAAGAATCATGGGTACAAATATGTAAAATCAGTACACAATATTAAAACATCGCAAGCCAATACACTCTATCTCATATGATAAGATCCCAATACACAGCATATCTATGTATCTAATATCAATTATAAGGAAGTTAACCGCTTAAGGCCCACCCACAGTACATTTACTGCTTCGGGGTGGGCCCTGTGCGCAAAATCACTAATATACACCTGATTTTGCATTTCCGGGTAGGGGGCTCGCGCAAGGCGCACAATTGCCCTACCTGCGCCACCGATTACGGTCCCGGGTGTCAATCACCAGGTCTCGAATGCTGATTACCCACTGATTACCCACCAGCGCCCAGTGATTACTTGTGTTCACCAACATGGAGGAGGGCTGCATTGTTTACCAACAGCCCTCCTCCCTGACAGTTTGGGCACACTGCAGCACGGCCATCCCGATCAGTGTGCTTTACAGTGAAGCACCCCCACCCCCTAGTAAAACACTCCCATCACACAGTTAACCCTTTGATTGCCCCCAAATGTTAACCCGTTCCTGCCCTTTGCCATTAGCACAGTGTCAGTGCTTTTTTTTAGCACTGATCACTGGATGTCAGTGACACAAGTCAGTTCCCCCCAGTATCAGAATGCCCGACGCAGTCCCACCATAAGTTGCTGATCGCCGCCATTATTAGTATTAAGTATTAAATAAAAAAATTCCAATACCTATACCGTCATTTGAAAATATAACTTTCACGCAAACCAATTAATTTACACGTATTGGGATTTTTTTTTAGTAGATATATTGCAGAATAAATTTTGGCCTAAATTTATGATGAAGTTTGATTTTTACATTTTTTTACTGGACATGTTTTATAGCAAAAAGTCAAAAATATAGTTTTTTTCTCATAAATTGTCTGTTTGTTTTTTTTTATAGCACAAAAAATAAAAACCACACAGGCAATCAAATACCACTGAAAGAAAGCCCAATTTGTGGGGGAAAAAAGGTTGTAAATTTAATTTGGGTGCAGCGTTGCATGACAGTTGTCAGTTAAATAAACACAGCGCCCTAATGCAAACCGCTTCTTTAACTGCTTCTTGACCACCCTATAGCAGAATTACTGCTACAGGGCAGCACGGGTGCGCAAAATCATATATATATATATATATATATATATATATATATAAACTGTAACCTCTTCAGCACGTCTTTTTTTCAACAGTGGGACTTTGCGGGGGCTTCTTGCAGATAGCTTGGCTTCACATAGGTGTCTTCTAATTGTAACAGTCCTCACAGGTAACTTTACACCTTCTTTGATCTTCCTGGAGCTGATTGTTGGCTGAGTCCTTGCCATTTTGGCTATTCCTCTGTCCATTCGAATGGTAGTTTTTCGCTTTCTTCCACGTCTTTCAGGTTTTGGTTGCCATTTTAAAGAATTTGTGATCATTTTAGCTGAGCAGCCTATCATTTTCTGCACTTCTTTATATGTTTTGCCCTCTCCAATCAACTTTTTTAATCAAGGTACGCTGTTCTTCTGAACAATGTTTGGAACAACCCATTTTCCTCAGAATTTCAGAGAGAAATGCACTGTAACCAGCATGTACAACATTTGCTGCCTTCCTTCCTTAACCACCTTCCGCCCGCCATATAGTACAATGACAGGCGCAAGGTGGTTCTCTGGTTCTGATAGGACATCATATGACGTCCTTCCATTCTCACCGCGCATGCGCAGCTCAGGCAGCGTGGCGATCGCCGGTGCCCTGTGTCCTTTGGACACAGCAGATCACAGAAAGAGCCGAAGATGTCGGCTCGGTCATGTGATCAGCTGTGTCCAATCACAGCTGATCACATGTAAACACGGAAATGCCGGTTATCGGCATTTCTCTCCTCTCGAGCTGTCACGCTGACAGCTCGAGAGGAGAGGAGAGCCGGTAATCGGCTTTCCGCGGAGGGGACATGTACACTGATCATCAGGGCACTGATGATCAGTGTGCCCTGATGATCAGTGTGGCCCCAGAAGTGCCACCTGTCAGTGTCCATCAGTGCCAGCAGTCAGTGCTCATCAGTGCCACGTGCCAGTGCTCATCAGTGCCACGTGACAGTGCTCATCAGTGCCACATCAATGCCACATATCAGTGCATACCAGTGCACATAAATGCCATATATCAGTGCCCATCTGAGCTGCTTTTCAATGTCACCCATCAGTGCCAGTCAATGCCACCTATCAATGCCAATCAGTGCCACCTATCAGTGCCAGTCAGTGTCGCCTATCAGTGCGCATCAGTGCCGCCTATCAGTGTCAGTCAGTGCCGCCTAACAGTGCCAGTCAGTGCTGCCTATCAGTGCCATATATCAGTGTCATGTATCAGTGCTGCCTTTCAGTGCCCATCAGTGATGCCTGTCAATGCCCATCAGTGCAAACTGCCAGTGCCTCCTCATCAGTGCCCATCAGTGCCACCTATCAGTGTCCATCAGTGCAGCCTATCAGCACCCATCACTGCAGCCTCATTAGCGCACATCAGTGAAGTAGAAAAATCACTTATGTACAAAGTTGTATAACAAAAACTAAGAAAAAAACTTTTTTTTTTCAAAATTTTCAGTGGTTTTTGGTTTGTTTAAGAAAAAATAAAAATTGCAGAGGTGATTAAATACCACCAAAAGAAAGCTCTATCTGACACAAAATAATGATAAAAATGTTATATGGGTACAGTGTTGCATGACCACGCAATTGTCATTCAAAGTTTACATTCACAGCGCTGAAAGCTGGAAATTGGCCTGGGCAGGAATGGAGTATAAGTGCCCTGTAGGCTAGTGGTTAAATAAGGGCAATAATTGGCACCTGTTTTTCAAAGAATGAATGACCTCACTAATAGAATTTCACATTATTATTATGAACATGCCCCTTTCAATTAGTGATTCAATTACACAGAATCAGCAGCCTGCATGTCATGACTGTTGGGTCTGTTGGATTTCTATTACTCTACTACACCTGCTAGTAAATTATTTGCCATGTAAAAATATCATTTCTACCAAAAACAGTGATTGATCAGGTTAGTGATGTCTGACTGCTTATATTTTGAACACAACTGTATATATATATATACACACAGTATAGTACTGTAAATGTATATTTGAAGCATTGTCTGAGTAAAAAAGCACACAAGGTGGTTGATGTGTATTTTTTTTGCCAGAAATTGGATTGGGTCAGGAGTGAGTTCCAGGGAAGCCTGGTGAAGAATTAGGGTCATTTTCCCTTTATTAGGCTGATCATAAGTTTCCTCTTTTAGGCTTGGAGTTTGGGCTGCAGAAATGATTTTGTGATACCGCAGCTTGGCCACCCCAGTCCACAAATCCACCTAGCAGGATGTCTGGCTCATTAAAAAGGCAGAGAGCTCTCACAGCTGAAAAAGCTGTGCTGTAAGTTGGACAAACTGATGGATTTTGGTCTTGCTGCGTGCTGTGTGAAGCCTTGGAAGGTTAGCCCACTGTTCTGGGACTTGCCCAGGCTAAGAAAAAGTCTACTGCATAGACTCTAACACAAGCTTAATTAAGCAGCCATTTTTTTATGTTGAAGTGAAGCTGTTTTGTTTGGATGCTTAGGGCCAATTCACACCAGAATATGGTGCAGGAAAGGTACATTCTATGTGCCTTTCCTGCACCACAGGTGATTGCGCTGCCCTTGCAATCTGCATGTGGGTGTCAATGTAATATTAACAGCACCCCAAAAACAGATCGAAGTGCTGTTGCTGCCACTAAATAGCATGGTACTGCAGTACCATGTGGTGTGGGGCATTTTTAAAAGTAGTGTATGCACTACTTTTTTGTTTTCCAGTGAAATTTTCAGCCCATTCCAATAAATGGGCTGCAACATTGAACTGCACAGGACCACAAGGAAATCGCACGGAAACAGAGCATGTGTTCCTGTGCAATCTCAGTGTGAACCAGCTCTAAAAAATAAACATGGGACTGCATAGTATAGTCTCTTACTTTGTCAGAGGGTGCCAAGTCCCATATGCATATATAAAGGCTTGAAAAAAGGAGCAGTTGCCCTCAGAAACATGTATCCACCCTCCCCACGCTGTGCCCCCTTCCCAGGTCTGATATCATTTCCAGTCCTGCACAGTCCATGTCCCTCCAGGGAGGCTCCAGAATTTCCAGTCTTGTTTCTGGTGTCCTACACAGCTCCTGACATCAGTATCTCCTTCTTGGCTCCTGAAAACACACTGAGGCTCAACAACAAACCTCCCTGGATGGATTACATGCGCTTATCCATTTGCATCTTGTGAATTGCTACTTGTGATTTTGAATAAGGTCTTTTCCTATATACTGCTCTTAGTTGGCATCCTCTGCTGTTGCCTCTGACAGTAGATGCTGCTGTACACTGCTGACTGCAAGGACACAAGGACTGCATTCTGCTGCCACAGAGAACTGTCATTCCAGAAGTGTTGCTGCAAGAATATGCTTTTGCCAACAGTGAGTACAAGAGTTACTGTGCTGCCCCCATCTGAGATGGTGTGGTTATAGTGTTGCCGTTAAGGAGGCTACCATATGCACTGAGTAGATGTTATTTTGCTGTGAGAGAAGCATTGCTTTGTGACCACCAGGGACTAAGTTACAATGACCTCAGAGTGGAGTGACTGCAGAGGAGACTTTGTGAGGGAAGGACTGTTGCTGAGGATGTTGTTGTGTTCAGGGGCAGACTGACAACTCATGGGGCCCCCGGGCAATAGGGGATCATAGGGCCCCTGTGTCCTTGCCCAAACTCAAAAAAGCCTATGAAAAAGGTACCAGGGGCATCTCATGGGGCCCCCTAGTGACCCTGGGCCCTCGGGCAGTGCCCGAGTTTCCACATGGTCAGTCTGCCCCTGGTTGTGTTATATGAAGTGGTGAGAGATCTCCAGGATTTGTTCCTGTTTTACCTTGTTAATGTTTAGGATTACAAATACTCCCAGTTGGGAGTGAGGACTCCAACCAAAGATACAGGGCTCCAATGCTTGCCGTGTTCACAATCTGCTGGTCAGTGGTTTAGAGAGGAATACCTTGATATTAGTAAATACCCCTTGGCAATGCTAACACTCTGAACATTTGTGCTTACTTTCATTACACTGGTGTCTGTGAGTTGTGTCCATTACATTTAATATTTTGTGGTGTATTACTGTCTGTTTGTTACTTACTCTTCACTTTTGGCAGGATATCTTTGCCCAAGGTGTGTTGATGAGTTCAGGTACTACCTGGGCTGGTCATTAATCCTGGAAGCAGAAGCTCCCAATCAACTTCAAAATAATATTTTGCTGTCTTTGTTTTTATTCTCCTCTGTCTTTACCTATCTGCATACCTGTTATTCAACAACATTACATGACATTTATTGTACATATGGACAGTTTGTGCCATAGCAGCACATGAACATCAATCACTGTTACACTTAGTTCTGATGATTTGTAGTTTGTCTTGAGTCAGTATTACAAAAGGAAAACCCTTTTACACTCTTTTTTTTTAAGATTTCATTTCTGTTAACAAATGGTGAGGTTTTTTCTTTAATAGTTATCAGCTTTGTCATGAAATAATAATACACAGTAGATACATATTATAGAGTATATTATTCCTTTGCTTTTAACTTCACCTTGTTTTTTCCATGTGCAAATCCACACATTCTTGCATGGTCTCATTTAACCTACAAAAATGTCCTTATTTTACCACATATAACTGTGGACCTAATTGTAAGACAGCTTTATGCAGTTGTATTCAGCTCAAAAAATTCAGTGCTATTTTTTGTACATTTAGTTTTTGGTGGTGAAATGAATCATCACAAGTATTGGTGTATTCGTTTTAGCGCTCTTTTGGGAAGGATTATGAGAAATGCCCCTCCCCAAAAAGCATATTGTGCTTAAAGGATAAGCAGTGCCAAAGCTTTTTTGGCCCTAATTCTCCTGAGGGTCATAGGAGTGCACTTCATTCTGCACTCCTATGACCCATATTCATCTGACAAAGGGCCAGCCAATCCAGGCTGCAGAGAGATTCCAACTTTAATTTTAAGATCCACCCTGATGTCTAACTGGCAGCTGTCTCAGTTTCTCAGCATGCCACCGAAAGCCTGAACCAGTCATTTCTGCCCCCTGCATAGCCCTGGGCTCCAGTGAGCTCTGGAGGGGCAGAGCAGAGAGCCGATGACAGACAGTTACCGACTATCTGTTCCCTGAAGACAGAGAACTGGGAGATCAGCGGACTTTGATCACTCAATTCTCAGTCTAGAGGTGGCGGGAGACAGATGCAGCATCCACCTAGATGGAGTGTTTGTTTTGTTTAAATCCCATACTACTCTTTTAACCTGTAGGTAAATAAGAGAAGCAGAACCTTTTCTAAATGAGCTTCCTGAAGACTTTATTACACTCACTGAGTGTAAAATCAGCGCCTGATGTCATTTCCGGCAACTCAACTTCCTGATGGTGGAACGCACACTGACCCGGTTGGTCAGAGCAGCAGCGTTCAGTGGTGTGCATGCATGCTGGATATACTAAGTAATAGATACACTATATTGCCAAAAGTGTTGGGACACCCCTCCAAATTATCGCAGGTACTTATATAGCGCCATCAGTTTACGTAGTGCTTTACATATATTGTACATTTACATCAGTCGCTAACCCTCAAAGGGCATACAATCTAAAGTCCCTAACTTAAATTCATACATATACATACTAGGGCCAATTTAGACAGGATCCAATTAACCTACCAGCATGTCTTCGTAATGTGGGAGGAATCCGGAGTACCCGGAGGAAACCCATGCAGTCACAGGGAGAACATGCAAACTCCAGGCAGGTGGTGCCATGGTTGAAATTCGAGCCAACAATCCAAATTGTTGGATTCAGGTGTTCCAATCACCTCCATGGCCACAGGTGTATAAAATCATCACCTAGGCATGCAGACTGCGTCTACAAACATTTGTGAAATAATGGGTCGCTCTCAGGAGATCAGTGAATTCAAGTGTGGTACTGTGATAGGTTGCCACCTGTGCAATAAGCCCATCTGTGAAATTTACTTGCTACTAAATATTCCACGGTCAACTGTTAGTGGTATTATAACAAAGCGGAAGCAGTTGGGAACAACAGCAACTCAGCCATGAAGTGGTAGGCCATGTAAAAAGACAGAACGGGGTCAGCACATGCTGAAGCGCACAGTGCGCAGAAGTCGACAACTGTCTGCAGAGTCAATAGCTAAAGACCTCCAAACTTTGTGTGACTTTTAGATTAGCACAACAACAGTGTGTAGAGAGCTTCACGGAATGGATTTTCATGGCCGAGTAGCTGCATCCAAACCTTACATCATTAAGTGCAATACAAAGTGTCTGATGCAGTGGTGTAAAGCACATCGCCACTGCACTCTAGCATGTTCTCTGGAGTGACAAATCATGTTTCTCTGTCTGGCAATCCAATGGACGTGTCTGGATTTGGCAGTTTCCAGGAGAATGGTAC